AACTACTTCCTAGTTGGGGCAAACAAATACAAACGGTTGATAATCCATCAGGATTGCCCATTCCCATGGTTCGCCATGAAAATGACTTGGGATAGATATTGTCATCATCATTTTGTTCTACCAGTATGATTGGGTGCTGCGATTTCCAGGCCACTTTTTTGTTGCCATTTCTCGAATGTCACCCTGGGATAGGCCTTTTGTACCATCCACTTACTCTTGCCGTTCATCTCATGGTAAAAGTCAACAAGTGTGTTGTCACTGTGTGCACTACCATACCCTTCTACTCATCCCTTTATCTACTTCCTTTCCCTACCATAAATCTAACTGAATCATGAGATCTAAACTCACATTCTACAGAATGAAGCAAGAACTTGTCTCTTTAAAACGTGCATACATAAATCTGAATTTTAAGACAAGCAGCAATTGCCCTGGTCAGCACAAATATTCTCTTTAAATGCCATAATTTCCTACCTCACCTAATATTCCCTGCATTTTGTAGTGACAATCTTATGCCTGCTTATTTACGTAGTTATTTATTGTGTCTTAGTGAAACACACAGAATGTCTCTCCCCAAAGTGAGTTAAACATCTTTCAGATGGACTCAAACACACATTGCGATAACGACAACTGCAGCTTACATTCCATCAATAGTCACTACTACTCGTGACTTAACAGTAGGCACCACTACCACACGATCTCTCTCCATGATCACCGAAATGCGTGTCCTGACTACGACCACCTTAACACTGTATCTGACGCAGTCCATTAACACACACACTGACAAAGACGAACACAGAACACCAGCTAATGCTTCTCACAAATACGAGATGCACCAGTGATCTCAACATTGCCATGGCATCTTTTAATCGGCATCGCGTTCGCTTTCCACTTTGATGAAGTTCAATTCACTTCAGATCATGATTCGAAAGAGCTACTGGAGATGGCAGTAGTAGAAATGAAGTTGGTAAATATGTAGTACAAGATGCAAGGGTGACGCACGCTGGAGTAGTTAAGAACTCAAGTTTCAGTTGAGGCTCGAATCAATCAAGCTATCCAAACAAATGTTTACTGCAAAATTGTGGTGGGAGCTGAAGAGAGAAAGAGCAAATTTGAGTCACTCTAATCATTGAGGGCTTTTGGAAAAGCTGCAAATTGGTATTCGATATGTTAAAAGTGACCAGCAGCTAAGAAAGCGCAACTCCTCGAAAATACCTTTTACCAAAGCCACGTTAAGGCTCATTTTTGTTTCTTTCTACACCCCTCAAAGCACTTGTCCTAATTTTCCCCAGTTCGTCCCACCACAATGAATGACATTCACTCTCCTTCACCCTCCGCAAATTTAACAGAATCCACCAACTATCGCTGCAACTTACAATAGTTCAATTTATTCATGTTTTCCTGCATGAATCACAAATTGTATCCAACAAACACATTATTGTGACTTTTAACAGTAAGCGAATTGAGGTACCCATCCTTGGCAAAGTTTCTCGATCTATTGTGTGATCTTTGATTTACTTAGTGAAAATTACGCCTCTAAAATGGTGGAAATGGAGCCTGTTAAATCATAAACGACACAATGGAACTACCAGAATGACAATCGTAAAGGCAATTGTTTAATTTGTAGAATAAACCCTAAAGTAGCCATTAACCAAATGATGGGAGTGTCTCTGGTAAATTGTTAAATCTGCCTGATAAATTGGAATTAGTTGTTGTAAGCCAAATGTGGCTGTGTGTTTTGGCCAGTCTATTATTTACCAAAAAATTACGGCACTAAATTTATGTGGAATAGAAGGATCCGAGAATTATATCAAGAACACTTAAATAGCTACGTTAATACAAGAATGGAAATTAGAAGGAAATAATGCAAAAACATGTAACGAATTGGTGAAGCATGTACCAGCTGATGGAAGGATGAAGTGAGCTGGCGGGAGGAAGTGGAACATACGGTGAAAGAGGGGACATATATGAGGTCAACCTCTCACTGGTGACTGGCACTGGAGAAGTTGTGATTGAAGAGTTCAATGCAGAAGTAGCCGCCGTTGGAGACTCTTACGCTGCTTGATATATGCGAACAATTTCAAACCGCTTTTAGGCCACTAATTTGAAACAAACAGAAATGGAAACTCCCCATTTATTTTGAATTTATTGCGTTTTGTTGCTCGGGCAGTAAAAAATGAAAATTTGGATTACGTGGTAAAAAATCACGAAACTGGTGCTTTTGATCATGCATTTAGTCCCTTTCCCATTTCAAAATCGCACACCAAATAATAAATCATGCCGTGCTATTACAAGTTCATCATTAACTGGGAACGTTTCTGTCATAACACGCCTCAATTACAACTG